CATATGAGTGTATGGAATGTGGGAAAAGTTTCATTCAAAATATGGACTTCATGATACACCAGAGGATTCACACAGGAGAAAAACCATATGAGTGTCTGTTTTGTGGGAAATGTTTCATTCGGAATTCCTACCTGATGAAACACCAGAGAACTCACACAGGAGGAAAACCATATCAGTGTTCAGATTGTGGGGAAAGCTTCAGTCACAATTCCTATCTGATGAAACACCAGATAATTCACACAGGAGAAAAAACGTATGAGTGCCTTGAGTGTGGGAAGAGTTTCGTAAGGAATTCCAGTTTGGTGATACACTGGAGGACTCACACAGGAGAAAAACCATATGAATGTCCGGATTGTGGGAAAGATTTCAGTAGTAGGTCTAGCCTTCTAAATCATGTAAGGTTACACATAGGGGAGAAACCATATAAATGCCCAGATTGTGGAAAGTGTTTCACACGGAATTCCTCACTTATCAAACACAAGAAATTCCACGTGAGGCAAAACCCGAAGTGCGTAGAGGACTCTTGAACTTTGTTTCCCATCTCTCATTGGAAGGCCAGCTGAGATACTAATTATTTAATTTCTTTCTTTATTCTTTTTAGTCAAACGTGTCTTAGTATCTAACATGAGTGAAGTGATCTGAGCTTCCTTTCCCTGACCCAGTGCCATCGTTCCCTTTCACGGAGTACAGGGGTAAAGGATCTGACAACTCTTATTAGGTTTACTTATTGCCTTGAGTTGTTTCTACATATAATAAAAGGGGATATAAATATGTTTTAATGCATTTTTATTTATTAAGAAAATGTATATGGCAATCCAACTCAAGGTGATTCCACATGGTTTATGGCAAGCCTGTCGAGTTGGAGGCCGATGGGCCAGAATATGTCATGTACAGGCCACACCCGCCCCAGCTCTGCAAAGGGGGAAAAATGTAATATGTCACGATCCAGCCCTTGATGTGATCATGTTTGACACCAGGTTTTTTACAGCAATAAAACCTTAATAAGAAACAAATAAACTCCAAATATTGCAAGTAGCAAAATGGAAGCCTACATAATTAACATGTTCTTAACAACCGTTCTTCATATGTTTTAGCCTGCAGGTCTCTATTATGATCTGAGCTTCCTTTCTCTGGCCCAGGTCGTTCTTTTTTACGGAGTTGAAGGGAACTGCTTTGCTGGGTGAGAGAAAGTGAGCTTGGATCTGTAGAAACTATGTTTGCCACCTTGAGTTGCTGCTATATATAATAAAGAGGGACATAAACTTATATTGATCTATGTATTTTTACTTAGTAAGTACATGTATATGGCAATCCAACTTATATGATTCCACATGGTTCACAGCAATGAAACCTTAATACAGACACCAATAAACTCCATATATATATAGCAAATGACAAAATGCAAAGCCCCCATATTTAAAATGTACTTGCCCTGCAAATACAGGGGACATCTAGCAAGGCTGGTTGAATTTTGATGCCAGGGAGTCCCAAAAAGGTGATTCTTGCTTTTGTGCAAATTAGACGTCAATCCGGCCAACTGGCCTTACTAACTACATTCATGCTCCATGCTATTCCTTCTCCAAACTGGTAGTCTTTCTCCTTGCAAGGGGTTAAATTGGAGAAGTTAACCGCAGGATTAGCGGCATATAAATTTGATAAAGAAATGCATCAAACTTCAGTGCCTCAAGAATGTTGCATATGGGCAGCCTCACTGAGGCCATATTTTGGATTCATTTCTTTTTCCTCTGACTTATTTAAAATATTTATGTGGCCACCCATGTAAGAGCCGAGGTGGCGCAGTGATTAAATGCAGCACTGCAGGCTACTTCAGCTGACTGCAGTTCTGCAGTTCGGCTGTTCAAATCTCACTGGCTCANGGGGGGGGGGCAGCTGAGGTGGAAAGAGTTAAAACCAGCGATTATTGCTAGAAAGGATGTCGAGGAGAGGAGAAGAATAGAGGAATTTCCTCTTCCATGGGAGGATGGAGGACTGGAGGGCGGCGATCGTGTTCTTCCAAGGGTCGAAGCGGCTCATCATGGGAGGGTGAGTGGAGGGCAGGTAGGAGGGGAAGCCGGGAGCAAGTCGGACTGTTCGATTTCCTCCACGGTCTGGAAGCAGCGAAGGGACAAGAATGAAAGATGAAAGGGCTGCTGCATATTCTTTCTCTCCCCAAATGTTTTTATCCTTTTGCTCCACGGTTTGAAAGAGCTGCCTGTGGTTTTCTGTTGGGAGATGGGAGAGACTAAAATTTAAAGGCCTAGGGACTAAACCATATGAAGAAGGGTTGCAGGATTTGGGCATGACCAGTCTAGAGAAAAGAAGGACTGGAGGGGACATGATAGTATTCCAGTAATTGAGGGGCTGCCACAAAGAACAGGGTGGTCAAATTATTTTCCAAAGCACCAAGAAGGCCAGACACGAAACAATGGATGGAAACTAATGAAGGAACGAAGCAACCTGGAATTGAAGAAAAAACTTCCTAACGGACTAGGACAATTAACCAGTGGAACAGCTTTGCCTTCAGATCTTGTAGGTGCTACATTAAAGGAGGTTTTTAAAGAAAAGACGGGACAGCCATTTGCCTGAAATGCTATAGGGTCCCTTGCTTGAGCAGGGGGTGGGCTAGATGACCTACAAGGAGTTCTGAAATTGAGATATAGGAGATTAAAAAATGTTTATTGTTTATATTTCATATACAACTAATCAAGGAAAGAAGCAACTTAGAACTGAGGAGAAATTTCCTGACAGTGAGAACAATTAATCAGTGGAACAACTTGCCTCCAGAAGTTGTGTGTGCTCCAACACTGGAAGTTTCTAAGATGTTGGATATCCATTTGTCTGAAGTGGTGTAGGGTTTCCTGCCTTGGCAGGGGATTGGACTAGAAGACCTCCAAGGTTCCTTCCAACTGTTATTCTATTGTATTCTATTCTAAATCCACCCATCTTACACACACTTCATATAACACTTCATTCCTTGTGATTTTCTTGACATGTTGCTTTCCTGGCGAGTGAACAGTGTCATGGACAAAATGGATGCTTTAAATCTTGCTTAAGATTTGGGAACCATTTCATCTCTTAGTGTCCCTGGCTTTCTAAAATTAGATCTAAAAAAATGAGAAAACGCACTTACATGTGTATTTCTGTGTGCATTTGTGTGCATATATGCGTGATCTCTCCAACACAAAAAGAGGATTTTATGATTGAGTCAGTATTTGACCTTGAATCTTTGTTAGTCTTCTATCTGCAAAGTGAATCATAATTAGTTAATTAGAGGTTAAACAAAATATTGATGTTTTCATGGTAATATGTGTGTGTGCTGTTTTTACATGTCCTGCAGCCATTTTTGAAACAATAGTGACACTAACCCATTTATATGAATCTTACAGAGAGAGAGGATGCCAAGAAGAGCACTCTGGACGACAGAGAATGAGAATCAGCATTAAAATGCAAAACAAACCATCAATCAAAATATTTCCACTTCTTCCAGAAAGTGTAACAACTTTTCTCTTTCCTCAGCAGATGGAGGGAGACAAGGGAGAGAATAACAAGAACAAAGTTTTGAGCTAGATAAAATAGAGTGTGTGGAACTCAAAGAAACATTACAACACGTGGTACTGAAGGAAACAAGAACCATAGTGTTGCAGTGGTTAGAATGCAGTACTGCCGGCAGCCTGCTGTTTGGCAGATCGAATCTCACCAGGCTCAAGGTTGACTCAGCCTTCCATCCTTCCGAGGTGCGTAAAATGAAGACCCAGATTGTTGGGGGAAATATGCTGACTCTGTAAACCGCTTAGAGAGGGCTGTAAAAGCACTGTGAAGCGGTATATAAGTCTATAAGTCTATTGCTATTACATGAGAAGTCAAGGGAGATAATTTCCAAATCTTACAGAAAGATTTGGAAATACCTGGATGTCCGTGAGAAGAAGAAAAATTCCTTAGTAGCCAAAATTGGCAGACATAAATTAAAGTCTTTGAGGAAGGTAAGTGGCTTCAATCAAAGGATCTCCAAGTAATAGATCAGAAATATTTTTGACCTCCTTAAGATTCCAAGTATGTTAGTGTTGGAAAAACTTCACAGACTGCGTATTATGAGAAAAACACAGATTGCAGGTCACAACTGCTTATGCATGAGAAAATCCATCCCGTGAAAAGCTATACAAATGTTTGGAGTATGGCAACAGCTTTACTCAAAAAAGCTTCCTCTCAATTCATGGAATGACCCATATTAGAGACAAGTTCTACTAGCGCTGCCAATGTGGCAAAATATTTACAATGCACACCAATCTGGTGAGAGACAAGAGGACTAGCAATGGAGAGAAAAACTTCGAATGTCCTGATTGTGGGAAAAGTTTCACTAGGAATTCTCACCTGGTGATACACCAGAGGACTCACACAGGAGAGAAACCTTATAAGTGTCGTGATTGTGGGAAAAGTTTCTCTCGGAATTACAACCTGGTGCTACACCAGAGGACTCACACAGAAGAAAAACCATATCAGTGTCCAGATTGTGGGAAAAGTTTCAGTCAGAATTCCTATCTGGTGAAACACCAGAAGACTCACACAGGAGAGAAACCCTTTGAATGTCCTGATTGTGGGAAAAGTTTTAGAGAGAATTCTTACCTGGTAAAACACCAGAGGACTCACACAGGAGAAAACCGATATGAGTGTCTGGATTGTGAGAAAACTTTCAAGCAGAATTCTCACCTAGTGATACACCAGAGGACTCACACAGGAGGGAAACCATATAAGTGTCGTGATTGTGGGAAAGGTTTTTCTCGGAATTTCAACCTGGTGATACACCAGAGAACTCACACAGGAGAAAAACCATATGAGTGTCTTTTTTGTGGGAAAAGTTTTATTCGAAATTCCTACCTATTGAATCACCAGAGGACTAATACAGGAGAAAACCCATATGAGTGTCTGGAATGTAGGAAAACTTTCATTCGAAAGTGTGACTTGGTGATACACCAGAAGACTCACGCAGGAGAGAAATTATATGAGTGTCCTGATTGTGGGAAAAATTTCACTCGGAATTCCAAGCTGGTGATACACCAGAGAACTCACACGGGAGAGAAACCATATGACTGTCTATATTGTTTGAAAAGTTTCAGTCAGAATTCCAACCTGTTGATACACCAGAGAACTCACACAGGAGAAAAACCATATCAGTGTTCAGATTGTGGGGAAAGTTTCAGTCAGAATTCTTATCTGGTGAAACACCAGAGGATTCACACAGGAGAAAAACCATATGAGTGTATGGAATGTGGGAAAAGTTTCATTCAAAATATGGACTTCATGATACACCAGAGGA